AGCACGATCAGTAATGTTATAAATTACAATCCTGAATTATCATAAATAAATGCATTTTCGAAAGTTTGAATTGTTCAGTTATTGTACAAGCAACCAGAACAAGTTCTTATAAAAGTTAAATTGTAAAAAGTTTACTAAGGTCACCATCAAAGTTGAGCGACAACCCAAACTTCGTTCCGTTTCCTGCTGATACTTATGGCCAACAAGTGAACAGCGTATAACTGGGTAAGTGCTATGTCGCCACATGATTGAACGCTATTTCAGGAAGAGGAGAAAATTCTGCGCAGCTGCAAAATGGTATAAAATGTGACTTATGAATAATACATTATTGGGAGTATATTTACAAGATAAATGCAAGGAGAAGAAGCTATATAGTACTTGAAATGATAGTTTACATTCGCAATGTTTAATGCTAACCATATTGGTGTAAGCATGGAAACTATCACGTTTCCGATGAAAATATATCTTTGTCCAAAGATTGGTGTTGTTTTGCTTTTAATCAAAGCAACCAGCCTTAAAGCACGCTACAAACATGAATAAAGAGCAAGTTTCAGCTTCAATAAAGGCCTAGGTAGTTAGGATCAGATAGAGCATAATAGTGCGTAAATAAAAAGATTATTTTGCGGTAGCTAAGTGATATTTAAGTGAGGAGTGAATTCAAAGATCTGGAAAATTAGAAGCCGTAGAACAATCTGACCTGTAAGATGCCTCACGAATTTCTGTAGGGCCCACATTACTACCCGAATATATAAAAGTACTCCTGGTAGCGACCACAGAGTAGTGCTCGGTACATTCAATATTTACACTAGCATGAGCTCAAGAATAAATACCAGCAAAGTATTACTTGGGGGTGGAATGACCTGAAATGATACCTTTTCACTCTAGACTGGGAGCCATAATTTACATGCGGCTCGGCTGTATAGACAATGGATTTATTCCATGAGGACTTAGGATCTTCACATGACGCCATCGCCTTAGCGTGATTGGTGAAAACAAGACCCGAAAAGTCTGACTTCATCCTCGTAGGGATTCGAAACCGCCTGAGTAAGCATCCTAGACTATTCTACAGATTGAGTTTCCCTTCGTCACTCGTTACACTCAGGCAAACTCATGATTCATACGATTCTAATCATTTTTCTGAGTCCATAAACGCCGAGCGCATATCCTACGCACAACGTGATCATACAGAGGCATTAGTAAAACTAATTAAATCTCGAATTAATAACAACAGAATAGGTGTCTCCAAATTATTACTAGATGGAGAAGAACCATACAGAGACCCTCAGGAGATATGCAAGTTATTCAGCTCTCACCTCGCTAGCCACTTTACTAGCGTGTATATGGTAAGTAGACTTGATGTTCTGATGCCACCAAACCACGTTTTCGGCAACAAAGCAATTACCCGTAAAAAGATTTCGTTCGCTATAGCACCTCTGCTGACATCACATAATGCCGGCACTGATGGGATTCCATCTATCCTGTTGTAAAGGGGCAGTGAGGACATACTCGTTATTCCCCTAAAGTTTCTAACCCGTCCTGAAGTAATGGCAGTTACACAGAGCGCTGGAAATTGTCGTTTATGACAACTAGCAACAAGCTGGGACCATGTTCTAATACCGAAAACTACCGTCCGGTCAATACCACATCATTAGTTTCCGGGGTTATGGAAGAAGTCATAGCGTAAGATATTTCTTGATGCCACCACCTCCACAAAGTGTTTGCTCAAGCAAAACACGGCTTCTTGAAGGGCCGACCATGCTCCACCTGCCTACTTGACCACTTCGATGATGATACTGGGAGGTGCGATCGTAGTTTGCTTGTCGCAACTCTCTTCTTCGACTTTAAAAAGCCTTTGATAAAGTCCCACGCAAGAGACTAATTCTTAAGCCGAAGTCGTACAGGTTCCAAGACTCCCTGTTATCTTGGCTCAATTCTTTCTTGGAAAATCATTCCTACGTTGTGAAATTCTCAAATAGTTACTCGTCACTCAGACCCACAGGAAATGGAGGGATTCAGGGTAGTGCGCTAGGGCCGTTGCTTTTCGTAATTTGTATTAACGACATCTGCAGTGTAATCAAGCATGGTATCCCATACCTCTTTGCTGGCTATATAGAGAGTGTTTACAGCTTCCCCCATTCCACTCTGAACGAGGGATTCACACATATTCAAGACGATTTGAATGGGTTACACAACTAGAGCAATGCCTGTTAACTGTCATTCAACTCTGATATATGTGGCGTCCTGTGCTTCAACAACTCCCACCCTAATTCCAGGTTACACCTAGGTGGCTCTTTTCTCCAAAGCCTCAATTTCCCAAAAGGCCTAGGCGTTACCTACTCACTAGACTCAACATTCACGCAGCGCGCACAATCAATTGTTTCTAAATACGGAAGACCCACAGGCTTGTCACACCGAAAAATGTACACAACTGAGGACTAAGTCCTCTTATACGAAGTCATGGTTCATGCAGTACTTGCATACTGCACAATCACCCTCGCTTTTGTGCATGGGTATGATAGTTTTCGCAGTGAAAATATTCAGCGAAGCCTTGCATGACCCAGTGTCGCAACTAAAAGCCGCTTGGAACCAGTTTAAGAAACCTTACGCTCAGGTAACCAAACGTTTCATCCCTCGGTCTGTCCCAAAGGGTCGGAAACATTGCTCCTTTGAATAGACCGGGAAATCCGTAAATTACCCGGACGTAAACACAAATGCTGGAACCTGTTTGCCACACTTGAGACTCCTGAGGCCAGAAAGCTATACAACACTGCTAGGAGCAAAGCTATTGCAGAAATCTGCCAATCAGTGTTGGAGTTCGAAGCACAAACTAAGAAAATTTACTGGTACATGAACTTCAGGAATAAAACATCCATTGGTGTCTCTAACCCGACTTTTGACAATCACGCAGTCGGAGAAGATCAAGAAAAAGCAGAAGCAAAGGCGGACTACTTCTCCCAAGTCTTTACACAGGAGTTGTCACTCCCCGTAGGATCAGCTTCGGCTGCACTAGGGGAACGCAGGATAAACTACGCTGACGTCGACAAAGACATCGTGCTCAACTGCCTAACGAAAATAGACTCAGGGTATCAATGGGTCCTGATGGTGTTCATACAAAGCTTCTCAAGGTGCTATCAGCTCACATAGCCTGCCCACTGGCCACGGTCTTCAAGCAATAGTAACCCCCATACACAAAGGAGGATCAATACAGAGCCCTTCAAACTACAGGCCTATTGGTTTCACCAGCAATTTAATCAAGACACCGAAAAGAATCACCAAGAAAAGTATCATGGCATATCTGGAAAACAACAATTTGTTATCTGCAGTACACAGTGACTTCCGAAGAAATCTCTCATGCCTGTCAAATCTTCTCACCGCAAGAGAAGGCCGGGTCAAATCAAGGGACAACAGAAGACACGCCGAAGTCGTCTTCATAGACTTCAGTGAAGCCTTTGACAAAGTGCCTCACAAAACACTACGCAGGAGAGTCATGGTATCAATTGCAGCTAACTAGTCTGGATTAGGGAATTCCTCATGGATAGGGGGCCAGAGGGTCAGAAACAACTCAAAACTCTCCTCTTGGACAGCAGTGCGTGGCGGAGTACCCCAAGGCGCGGCACACAAACCTATCCTATTTATTTATCTCTGCTCATCGATTCCCCCATGGTCCTATATGTAGATGACCTAAAAATCGAGAGAGAGCTGAAGGGCAGCAGTGATACGCTCACGTTGCAGGAAGACCTCAACAAATTCTCAGAGTGATCCAGAGAATGAATGCTCCTTATCAATGTAGCAAAATGCGCAAGCATACGCATTGGACAGGCAAGCATCAGCTCCTACGAACTAGAGGGAATAACACTCCCATCATTTCTAACTCATTTGGATTTAGGTGTCATAGTTAGTCACGACTTAAAAACTACAGTACACTATTGCACGGTGGCTGCATGTAGTTTCAGATCCTTACGGGCGATTCACAGGGTCTTTTCTAGAATTACCAAAGATATGTTCAGCTCCTTGTATACATCTCTGTTGACGTCAGGACCGGAAAATTGTATTCAAGCAGCCAGTCTTTGTCTTAAGGACTCACATATTCTAGAGAGAGTTCAAAGGAAGGCAACACGTATGATTCTCCACATGGCTAAATTATCGTACGAGGAAAGACTAGACAGTTTAAATCTTTTCTCACTATCATTCTGTAGGCAGACAGGAAACTTAATCACAATGTTTAAAATTTTAAATAGTGTCTACGGACCTGACCAACTCTCTCTTTTCCTTCCCACCAGGTCGGAACATCTTAGAGGACATAGCAGTAGTATTAAAAAGTTAAGAAGCAACTGTATTACTGAATCACCAACCTCTGGAACTGATTCTCAGGAGAAGTGGTGTCAGGGCCGTCAATTTAATCATTCATAGGGGTTAGGACAAGCACAGAAATTTACTAGAAAAGCCTTCTATCCTCATTCGACAAATATTTATCTGTACCAGAGACAAGTTACGATTCACAGAGTACGGGGTGTATGAATGAGTCACGAATGTACTGTGCATGGATAAAGTGAAGTTAGTATTCTGATTATTTGGTGAAAGAAGAATAAACATTAGAACTTCTGCGTTCTCTAGTCCATGAGTCCACTGACGGTCAAAATCTTTTCGGTACTACTTTATTATAAAATGGACCGTAACTGACAAGCACCACTCTTGTGACAGTGATGTATAATGGTCCTCATTTGTATGACAGGAACTTAAGGTACAGCCATCAGGATTAAAATCCATTATTTTAGTATTGTGGAGGATTTTCTACCCATGTTATATGAGTTCGAACGAATTACTTTACTTTATCCTTATATAGCCGCTGAGCACTTCTAATAAACGTTATAACCCAATTATTTCGTCCTATGCACGTTGAAGTTTCAGTATTCACCTCCCTTTCTCCTTGCATATGAAGTTTTTTTGTGTGTTTCATAGTTGTCGTTTCTGTGTTAAAGTGCTTAAAATGAATAGTCAAGGGCGAGTTCATGCTCAAGCCGCTGGTTTCAAGAGCCTGGCGCGTTAATTTTCGTTATTTTGTTTTGAAGGTTGGAGAGTGTCGTCATATGTTTGTTATGACTAGTCCTGAAGATTTAAGCAGCTCAGTATGTGAAAGTCTTCTAGTGAGTATATTTTTCCCAGGAAATACAAGCATTTATCACAAAAGTCAAGAGTTTACCCGGTGGAACAAACATTCAACAAGATGAAGCTGAGAAAGCCGCTCATCTCTACCTCAGAGCTCGTAAAAGAGATGTTGAACGTGCTGTGGAATTATACAAAGCTAACAAGGTATGGTTTAACGTGAAATTTCAATGACGGAGAAAATTGTAAGTGAAAAACGTATGAATTAATTAATGGCATGAAAGCTAGAGAATGTATAAAGTCAGGTTATCCTTCAACCTTGTTTTGCGAAGTAAAGACTGCGCCTTAATCCCATAGGTGCAATACTCAAAACTGATACTTCACTCTCAAAAGAAATAACATATATGTTTTCGTAATAATTCAATTATTGTCTGAAATGTGACACAGAATTTGAAAAGTTGTACAGTAGTTTTCTCCATGCGTAAGATATGTGGGGATTATGAATTCTTATTGCTCTGAGAATTTATTATTTTCGGCGTCACCTGAAGTTCTGAAATTTAATTGTCTAGAGTAACAACTTGGTAATCCTGTATGTTATTTAAAAACCTTCCAGTTGAATAACATGTTTGTTTGCATAATTCGTTAGTATAAACCGCCTAAACATTTCTTGTTAGCCTCAGTAATGACTCACCTTTTTCTTTTCATTTGAACACTGGTGTGACTGGCCTGCAAATATAAATTTGAGGATTTTCCATTAATCTGTGTACAAATTATTTCATTTCGCTGATTATTAGTCCTCGATGTTAACTTTTCGAACACTAATAAAGTAAATGTAGATGGTTTTGATACCTCTGATTTCGTCTTCTATCCACTCACAGAAAACATCATATAAAGTGACAGATTCCACCTCTAAATTTCTTCTTTTTACTTATGTCTTCATGTTTCGCATTGAAACTTGTGGCAAAGTTGTTTCAAAAGATAATTCAAACACATACTTCCGGGTATCGGCGACTTTCACATGTCTGGAATCGTGTTTTAAATGCAACCATGCACTATTGCATACTTTATGTTAGTAGTAGAGACTAGAGGTGTTAATTCTGTATCGATTAACAAAGTTTCTTTTTTATTAACTAACTTACATCAAGCTGTCAGACATTATCCTTGGTAGTCTGACTTCCTTTTACTTGTGAGTGACGTATAATGCTTTTTAAAAAAACACATCTCAGGTATAATATTATTGCTGCCTATATCATTTGTCTTTCTATAGCGAATGCGGTATACAGAAAATGTGGACTCAATTGATCCTTTAGAAGATGGCGTTCGGAGGGAACTATTATCTGGGAAGTTTACTGTGCTAGTAAGTCCAAAAAAGTCTAATTAATTCAGCTAGTTCTTCACGTTATCCTTTGTGGGAGTAATTGACAACCTATTAATATAACCATGGGTAACCCCGGTTATATAATTATGTTCTAAGGAAGCGGTTATCATTTTCTTATGACAAACTCTGGTTATTTCCTCACACTATGAACTAAGTTATTATTGGCCTGTGTTTTAAAACTTGTATAGGTCAATACACTACTGCTTTTACACAGATTTTACTGTCCTTGAGCACTTTCAGTCTGTATTACAACTTACAGTTCAGTAAGGTGTGTTTGAGAAATAACTAAAATCTTAAATTTCTTCTGCACATTCTGCTTTAACTAATCACAGGTTATAAATGGCAGTAAGATTCACCTTTGTAGGCTGAACTGTGTGATGAATCAAATACTTTTACAAATTACAATCTCTCTTTAGTTTGCCCACTTGTTCATTATGCATAAAAGAATGTAAATTTATATTATTAAAAAAAGAAAAAGAATTTGTTTTCAGTCGAATTTATGTTTTAATTATTGGCATAGCTAACTGCAGTGGTGGTGCATATACATAGGTCCTGAAAGTTTTATTACTCACCTTTTAAAACACTAAAGATTACCACAAGAAAATTTAAAACAACACATGTGTCAGCGAACAGTATTGTTTTTTGAATTCGATCTGATGAGGTTGCACTCTGATGTTTGATGACGATGATGATGATGTAGTCCTCCGAAAACGCATGTCTCTTCTGATATTGGAGCCCCTACCCCCCACCCCGCGCGGTCATCCAGTGTCGCAGTGAGAAACATTACCACTGAATTATTTATTGGCCTCACTATTGACAGCCTGTAGGACTGGAATGAACGCTTGTGTTATGAGTCTAGTTCTTTGTTTGCTGCAGCCTGAAATTCTATCCATCAGGCAGTTTAGAATGCACTGCGATGTTGAATCACCCCTAGCTTGGTGACCCGATTATTCACCCTTGACTGGTAAGGATTCAGTTTATCCCAAATAAAGCACTAGACACATACCATGACACACTAGTTACTCACTACCTAGGTTGAAAATCCGGTTCATCATTTCAGTTCAGTGGAGGAGTTAGTTCTACTAATGTTCTATGTTTATCCTATAGAGGTATACTTTCCACTCACAAACTTTATCTATGCCTCCTTTCATTATCATTTAGTTAGTATGAAAAAGAAGCTCATTTTGTACTACTTTTTCTCACTTTTTGGTATTGATTTCTTATTATGAGCTAATCAAGTTTGGTTTGTTAACTTTATGCAGTATATGTATTCTGCAGAATCATTTAGGCTGATAAAAGTTATAATCTATAATCTGTAATCAATTTTTTGACATTCATACTTGGCAGATACCACATTGTATAAAGCATTTTTAATAACACACACACACACACATATTGTCTTTTATTATGGTCAAGTATTAGTTTGCAGGGATTTGATTGATTGTTACAGGATTGATCATGAGCTGACTGGCATCGCTTAGAGAACCATAGAAAAATTTGGAGAGTACTAGACAGTCACTTCACCCCAGTTCCGGCGGACTCTTCATCATCGGTAAGCACCTGCCGCTAGTGTTTGAACCCACAACAACCTGCTGGTTGCAAGGCAGCTGACAAGCTAGCTAGACCATTAAGCCAACCACTGAGATCTAACCCAATGGTCAATGAATTTCAACTTCTACCATTTCGTCGAGGAGCTAGCTTAGTGCTTTGATGGCACAGTGGTTAGGACTCTCGCCGACCATGCACATGAATCGGGGATCGATCCTCTGCCGACGCACACCTGATATCAATGGTTGGTCTGCAAAATTTGGGCTACTGATATCATACGCTGAAAATCCCATACTTGTACCAAAAATACTGTGTGGTTTCAAGCTATAATAAAAAAACCCTGACCTTTGACACTAGCCAGACTCTCATGGGGAATATTTGATTTTATGTCATAACATAGTCTACTGAACACCTTGAGCTGCAATCTAAGAATGTTTGGCATGCGATTCGCCCCCGTAAAATGTAAGATGATGCTGCAGGATTGGACTTCACTGACCCCTAGATTAGAAATAGGAAGTGAAGTGGTAGAGCACGTTGACCGCTTCAATTACTTGGGAAGTACCATCAGCCCCAACGGGTTGATCTCCGACGAAATATCAGCACGAATACAGAGGGCTAGGTTCGCATACGCCAGTTTTCGCCGTCTCCGGCTAAGTAGACGTGATATCCGACTATCGACCAAAGGGCGTGTGTACTACTCAGCAGTCCGCTCCGTCCTCCTTTATGGCTGTGAGACCTGGCCATTGAGAGTGGAAGACATGAAAAGACTAGCTGTCTTTGATCATAGGTGTCTGCATTCTATCTCCCGTGTGAAGTGGTATAATAAGGTGAGCAATATTGAGGTTAGGCGTCGAGTGCTAGGTAAGGAGGGGAAATCAATCGACGAAGCTGTGAAATTACATCGACTGAGATGGTTGGGACATGTGTTACGTATGCCTAGTCATCGCCTTCCTCGACGGGCAATGTTAGCTGACATAGGGCCAGGCTGGAAAAGAGCTAGCGGCGGTCAAACGAAAACATGGCACCAGTCAATGAAATCCACAACAGTTAGTCTAAGCCACGTAGGAAGATGTAGACTTCCTGGTTGGGGTCCTCGGGATGGTAAAAACCAATGGTTGGAAACAATTGGTGACATGGCTCAAAATCGTTCTCAGTGATGGCTGGTGCAGATGCATCCACTCCTTGTGACTTATGATTTCCAATGAAACTGTTTTGTTCTTCGTTATTACTATTCCTTTGTCCCACACCTCTGTTTACTGTCTCTATTATGCATTTCTCCTACTTTCTTCTCTTGCTTTGTGTGCTACATGGAGTGTGGCGACTTGAACTGCCGCACATATGTGCAAAGTTCTATGTCGAAAATAGACAGACAGACATGTCATAACATACAGAGTTCTTCTGTTTTTTCCATTTGTATTAAAATTTTGTATATAATACACGAAACATTTATTAGCATTCCGAACAAGTGGAAGAAGCCGCTCTTTTCTTTTTTTTAATTCTACAAATTTTCCACTCATTTTCAGCCCACTCTTCCTGATGACGAAATGGATGCAACTATTGCAATATTTACTGCTTACCGTCATTGGCCTCCGTTAACTACACACAGAGATACTTTGAAGGGTGTTCTCTACCAGTTAGACGCTGCAATGATGGAGTAAGTCATTTTATTATCACCATTCCTACTAGTATTATTATTATTGTTTAATATTGAGTAAGATCTAACGCTGTAGTAGAGAGTTGTTTAGCTCACTTTCAGTTAATCTCAACTTCCGTCATCATCTTAGGCGTGGAGTATGACATGCCTCCAAAGCCTCAGGATGGTCGGGGGTGGGTGCCTTGCGCTGCGGGTTGGCCACCCCTCCGCACACCTCTTGAAATGCTCCCATATGACCGGGCGTCTTACATAGCCTCTCCTGAGGAAGTCCTACTCACTGCCTTCACGTGGCGGAGGTGTTTTTCACCAAAGTGAGAGGGCGAAAGTGGATGCCCGGCGCTCTTCACCAGGTTGACTGTCGATTGGATGACAGTCTAGGGGAAATGGCTAAACCCTGATTCCAAACCTCCAACGACTGGCGTATGAAGCTCACTGGAGCTCACCGGCAGACGTGTGGACAAAGGGCTTGTTGGATGTCCTGGATGTCTGGCCCTATTCAAAAAGGCGTATGAACCGAACTCCGGTCACCGGCTACCAATGGATAGTGGACTCCCTACTCCACTCCTACTGCCTTGTAGGTCACACTTGGTTGTGTAAAGGCTAGAGCTGCACTCTCAAACAAAAGGCCGAGCGATTCTGGGGACATCACTCGTACCGAATTCCCATGAAACTTCATGAACTCTCTTACAAACGACTCTGCTTGGTACAGTCAAGGCTGATATGGAGTGCCTGGGGCTACAAACCGTCTACGGACTGCGTCTGTGGAACAAGAATTGGATAACCCTGTCGCAAAACCTTGCATCAGATCGCCGCGCCTGGGCAGCGATGATTCGAGATGTTTATGAAGCCGGCTCATCCTCCCGTAGGAGACAGCCGAAGTAAAGTAAAAGTAAGTAAGTATGACATGTGTACTAAGCCGCAGTTCGTTCTACGCCTTGTTTATGGCGTCTGTAAAACGTGACAGCTGAACACACAGGACTTGTAGAGACTAGCCGTTTTTGACCATAGGTGTTTTTATTCTGTCTTCATATGGTATAATAATATAAGGAGTGATTATGGGGTTAAGCGTGTTGAGTGGCTAGGTGAAAAGGGGAGAATCAATTGTGATGAGACTTTGAAGTCGCCTTTTTTAACTGTTGGTTTGTTGAACTATTTTTTGGAAGGTGTAAACTGCCTGGCTAGGATCATCGAGACGTTAATGATCAATAACTTGAGATTGTCGGTAACATTACTCAAAATTGTTTACAATGACGCAGATGTATTCACTTTTTGTGATCCCTAAGGTCTATTAAATTCGGATTATTCACTAGAGTGAAATTTCTCCTTTTTCGCGAACATTGTTGCTTTTTTTCCACTACCTCTGTGTGTGTGTGTGTTGCAGTTTTTGATGTAGGTGTGTTCTCTGAGCTAGCTGGATGGTTTACTTGCGAAGCTTTCATTACCTTACTAGGCAACATCTTCAGCGCATACTTCAATTTAAAAGCTCACTTCATCGAATTGAATTATGCGCTGAAGATGTTGCCTAGTAAGGCGATGAAAGCTTCACAAGTAAACCATCCAGCTAGCTCAGAGAACACAACTACATCAAAATCATCCACCTACAAGCTACAAAGCTTCTCCATTATATCTGGTTGTTGCTGTGTTTTACGTTGTTAAGTTAGTCAGTTAGTTAGTCAGCTAGTCAGTCGATCAGTCTGTCTGTATATCTCTTCCTATAACAATCATACTGTTAAGTATGTAAAAATAATCCAACCATAGTGTATTACATGTGGTAATA